TCCTAACTCCTGTTTCTGCCTCTAATATGTCTCTGACTAGACCTTCATGCCTGAGAAGGTGTCCTACCAACCTATCTCGCCTATTTTTTATTGACTTCCGTAGAGTCCTCTGTTCTCCTATTCTTTCCAATACCTCTTCATTTCTACCCACGATATTCTCATCCCACATTCCCACAACTTGAAAAAACTCTTGAGTAAAACAAAATGAATTTATTATTCAGTGTTAAAAAGAAAATTTCCGGTACCCTCAAGAGTACTTAATACTCATCCCATTTTAAAAAGAATTTCAATATGTACTTAACTTAAAAACAAAACAAACTCAAAACAGGAATATTAAAAGCTGATTGTAGTTGTTATCTATTTTATACTGTTGTATAGTCATAAATAAATAAATAATCTTACTTGCGCATGCTAATCCTTCTGTAAGAAGAAAAGGATTAACATTGCAGCAAACCACCGCGTGCTTGTGAAGCGGTTTGCAGCGACATCTGTCTTCCGGTGATGGACAGCTTTCAGGGGGTTCGTGGAAGCACTGCGAACCTCTTCTCAAATCAATCGAAGTTAAACTGTCTTCTTCGTTCAAACGACCCCAACTGAATGGGGCCAAAATTAGGTTGAAAATGATGAATCGGTACAAAAATCCCATCTAAATAAAACAACAAAAGAATGATAAAATTATTAGTGGTAGACAACAATCTAACTAAATTATTGTCATACGTATTTCGCATTTTTATTATTTTTTACCTTAAAAAACCATTTTTGTCATAACAGCAAATGAAACACTTATAAACAATGAAATATTTATTAAAAAATAAAAATGACAAACAATGTAGAATTTTATCATTGGAAAGGATAACAACTATTGTAGGCAATATATTTTTTCGTTGTGTTTATATTGTGATGTAAACCTTTTCTTTACGACATTTTTTTAAACTTCTTCAGAAAAAAATCAATTGTTTCCTGATGTTTAATAAATATGAAAAACATTTATTATGTAAATATACGATTTTCAGATAATTTCAGAATTTACTCTTAAATAAAGCTAATATTTCTGTATTCAGCTGTAAAGAATCAAAATTGTATAATGCCACATCATACGAAGATAAATAATCAACGCAAAATGGTAACAAATTTTAGATTAGGATTCAGGCAATAATTATTAAGTGAGATTGAACTGTAATGATCAGAGGTTGTTTACTTAATATTATATTTGTTTTATATTATTGAATGTGCCTACAAACAAACAAACAAAAATGCAGGTTATCTTAACATCGCAAATCCTTAATACATGTATGTATTGTGTATATGTTGATGATGTTATTAGTTTATTAAATTAACCATATTTACAACCATAAAACCCATGCGATAAGTTGCCCAATAAGTATTTTAAAGCAAACCAAATAAAGTTGAGGCAGTTCTTTATTGTTCAATTTAATAAATAAAATGTACACATGTTAGTTCATTATTTACGCAAAAACTATAAACTGAATAAACACTGCAGCTATAGTACCTACACAATCAGCAAATAATATGTATAAAATAAATACATAAAAACAAATATATATACAAAAATAATGGCCTATAAATATTTAAAATTCTATTAATAGTATTGACAATAATAAAAACACCCAAAGCCCAAAAATAGATGCCC